TGTATTGCTGTATATATATATATATATATATATATATATATATATATATATATATATATATATATATATATATATATATATATATATATATTTATAATATAGTCATTCACCGTATATGAGCTGTTCTGCAATCTGATTGGTTGAATTACTCGCCGTATATCAGCTCATATACGGCGAGTAGCGAAAAACAAGATGGCGGTCCAAAGACTACATGAGTTTTGCGAAGCAGAAAAAGGAAAATATTCGCTTTGAGAAACATAATAGTACAAGGAAAAACTCTCAAAAAAAATTTGACAGGTTAGCAAAATACATTTATTACGTAGAAATTAGTTTAAATACAAGTTTTTTAAAGAATTAATACCGAAACAACAGCGAAAAAACATGTTCATTGAGAATATAAATTGTTCAGAAAAGTTTGCAACGAAAGACAAATGAATTTGCAGTCAACAAGCACTTACTATACTACCAAACATCTGTATAATATATCTGAGCTTTTCTGTGAGATATACCGGTTCTAAAACCATTTCTTTCACTTCGTCTTCGAGTTGTAAAACAAAAGTATTTCAAATTTTCAAGGCCAAGCGGTTTTTGGCCGAACAAATTGTCAAGACATTGTAACAGAGGATAATTAATTATTGCTTCAGTTAATGGCTATTAGACTATATTATAAAACAATTATACCATTCGCTCTCGTCGTATATGGCTATAGCTGATATACGACTCGAGCTCATGGTATAATTGTTAAATATATTATATATATATATATATATATATATATATATATATATATATATATATATATATATATATATATATATATATATATATATATATATATATATATATATATATATATATATATATATATATATATATATATATATATATATATATATATATATATATATATATATATATATATATATATATATATCAAGAAATCATAAATCTTCAAAGTAAATAAATTATATTTTTACGTTTCGGGGACAAGCCCCTTCTTCAGAATAACGCTACATCATCTCCGTCTCTTGCTTAAATAGTCTAACGTTTAGCTATGCATAAATTAATTAAACCTCTTCCCTTAAATTAAGCCCACGTGGGACATAACTATTTAGTTTCTCAATCCAAAAACTCTCCCTCTCAGTGGGGTTATTAACGTCCGTGACGTCAATAACCTGCACTAAAAAATCACTTAGACCTGAATGTCCCTCCCCCCAAAATCCCCGAAACGTAAAAATATAATTTATTTACTTTGAAAATTTATGATTTCTTGATATTTATAAATGAAGATTTTTTGGGGCAGGCTCTTGATATATATATATATATATATATATATATATATATATATATATATATATATATATATATATATATATATATATATATATATATATATATATAGATTATAGAATATTCAATATATAGATTATATATATAGATTATAGAACATATATAGATTATAGAATATTCAATATTGAATTTGTGCGTAGCGAACTACAGGGTGTCCCCCAAAAAAGTGACACTATAGAAATTATCTTAAGCCGCTCTTAAACGCGCGTGATTACACGCCTGGGAATTTAATGAACTTGTATTTACATTTAAGCATTTTATAACGTTTTCGCTTTGTCCAAATATTTTAACGCCCGAGTCAAGCAAAACGATTACACTAATAAACGGTTTGCTTTTTTATTTTAAATTCCAGAAGCAGAAGTTTATGCACATGTGGGATCAACTTAATGCTAGGGCATTCAAATTATAACAATAGGATAATTTCTATAGTGTCACTTTTTTTTGGGACACCCTGTATATATATTTAGCTTATTTACATTTGAGGACACTATTTAAAATATATATCCTTATTACAATATTGGTCAATTTTGGCAATTACTTTACATTTACTGACATATAAGTATATAATCTTTAAAATACATGCTCAATGCAGCAATTAGTATTATTGTCTGTTATACTCAATATCTCTAATATTCGTCTTAATTAAATTTTATTGAGCTCGTAGATGCTCTAGTTTCCTTAAAAAGGCTTTATGAGTTAGGCTACTAGTGAAATAATCTAGACTATGGCGACGTTTCCTTACACTATACCGCGGATAGCTTTCCCTAGCGGGCCGAAAAGGCACCTATCCGATACAAAATGTACAACTTTCAGAAGCTGAGGAAAACAACATCTAAAAATAGCGTTCCTAAAAAATACCGATAGATGTTTTCGCGTCGCTATGCCTATGGAAAGCTATCGGATGCTGTGTAAACGTAGCCTCATCTTATCTGTACCACTTCTCATAAGATTACAGGCATTTTACAAGAATTGCTCTACCGTTAGGGGGGGGGGGGGGGGGAGGGGAGCTAATGATTTGGCAATATGTATTGGCGAAAATACCTGAAAGAGACAAAGAAACTTATAGAAATTATCTTCATAATAAGTCACGAGAATATATGTGTATTAATTATGTGCATGTGCATAGCAGAATGATGTAGATATTAAATAGAGTTTGAAAAGAAGAGAATTGTTCATAATACTTAATAAATAGTTAGTGAAGAGCCGTTTGTATCAATTAAAGATTAAGGTGTCAAAAAAAGTTAAAGAATAGCAAACTGTATAGAAATGAGAACTTTAAATTTTTACACTAATTGAATTTTTGAGAATTTAGATCGTCTTTGTACCCAGTTCTAACGTTAACAGTGAAATGATAGTGGGTTATGATATTACAACTCTTGTGAATCACTCTGCTCCGAATGGCTTGCCTATATATACGCTAAACCAAAGGTCGCGTAGATTCCCATGGTGGTTAAATAATTTTTAACCCAGCGTGCATGAATACTACTCGAATTAACGACATATCTGCGTTTCACTTTTATTAAGGTCGTTCGTCTGAAATGATTTCACAACTTGAAGAACTTATGTTCGATAAAGTCGAGCAAAATGAGAGAGACGAAGGGCAGTTGGAATCAGATTTGAAGAGAATGGGCAACTATGTCTTGTTTATGCGAAATCTTCTAGCGAACGGAAATGATGATGAGATGATGAATATGTATGATCATTTGGTGAGATACGTCAATGATGTAAGTGGTCGAAATCCATTCTGGCTTGACGATAACAACGAAGCAACGCCAACTGTTTCCCTGCAGCCTGATGCTGGTGATGATGTCGTAGATAACTATGTGGGTCACTTGGTTACGACTTGTCTTGGTGAACTGGTTATTCCGACATTACAAGCAGATCACTTCGAGTTGGTTGAGGACAGAGGCAAGGTAAGGGCTGATGTCATGATTGTATTTAAACTTACACTGTCAACTTCGAATGACACAGTACCACTTCTCCGTTTTTGGTGACAGAATAACACGTTTGGAGTTGATTCAACTGCTTGCTTGAAATTTACAGTGTAGGGTAATTCCATGGTGACTTGTGTTACATTCTGAACCAAACTATCAGAGTGATTTTGATCTGGTGTAATAACTAATATATTTTTTTCTGTCACATTTTTGCAAGCAGGTACAAATAATGGTAAGCTACTGATTCACAGTAAAGTAAAAATTAAACATTTGATTATAACATGATAAGATTGGTGGCCGTAAATTGGTGTGTGACTCATGTTACGACAAAGTGACATGAAGTAACACCAACGTAACTACTTTTGAATTTCTTCTGGAACCATAGGAAGGAGAAACATACAATGTCTATCAAGTAACAGACGATATGTTAGGCAAACTACCAACACAAAGAAATTTTATATTTTGGATTACAACAGTAAGGATTGCTACATAATACACGTGACTCATGTCACATATAAAGTACAACTTAATATTTCAGTTCAGAATTGTTTGCAATAGCTTCTGAAAATTCTTGACAACTTTTTTTCTCATAAAATGTCATCACTATCATGGAATTACCCTGTAGTGTATAATATTCAGTGAATTGGACTCATAAATTTTGGAAGGGATGGGCTATTGGTTAGTGTATTTCAGTCCCCGAAACTTCACGCTAACCTCTGCGAAGGAGAAAGTGCGCATGCAAGCCGCAGTGTGCCTTTCGTTTGATTCTGATCCAAACCTGGTTCTTGTTGAACGGTTATCGTTCAGTGACGGCTTCCTGAACCATTACTTATAAGCCTATGGGTGTGATATTTTATATCATGGCGGGAAAATACTTCAGAAAAGCTTTTTTTCGTTACTTCTATGGCACCATGATATATGTTTGGAAATGTACGAGACAACAGAGTATAAGTCAGATATTGTTTATTGAGTTTGTCTTATAAACTTTCCCGCCTGAACATATAATAGCATACGCATACCTCAAGAATAGATCGGGTTGACAGGATTATCAATCTTGTACATGTATAGTTTAAGTTGGGTAAAAACATATCTTAAATCCATATTATTTCATATGATTTCAATCCATATTAAACACGAATATAGCCTTTAGCTCAGGTGATATACTTTCAATGTACCATCATAACAGCCGTGTTCTGAACAAAATACTAACTTCTCATTAACCGAACGCGAGGTCTATACAGAGAAATACCGGACCGAGGTCTTTTTTGTACAGACCGAGTCCGTTGGGCGAGGTTTGTACAAAACGACCGAGGTCTGATATTTCTCTGTACATACCGAGCAAGCGAGGTTAATAAAAAGTTTATTATTATGGCATTTATAGGTGAAATGAAAGAAATGCATGGTTTGAAATGCATATTAGTAGCATGGTCCCCATTTGGTCGAAGAAAACAAAAAATACCAATGTATTCCTTCTTTTCCACTAAAAACCAATTAGCAGATTACTTATAAACAACAAATTAAATTATAATTTTCAAATTTTCAATTAGTTTTGCTGTTTGGTTTTAAAATGCATGATTGTGTTTGTTTTTAGGTAATGGACCGTTGATCGCCGGTCCATTACGGGAAAATAATGACCGCTGAAAGTGCTTCTCAGCCCATCACAGTCCGCCATTTAATCAGAAGTGATGTTTGCCATATAATAATATATAATAATTTACAATTTTTTTTGCTGTTTGTTTGACTGTTGTGTTGCTTGGCAGGCTGGTTTGTTGCTTGATCAGTTATTTGTTGTTGATTTGGCAGCTGGTTGGCTGTACAGATTTGATGGTTCGTGAATCACCATTCAATTACTGGCTGGTTGCCAGGGTGGTGGTTTATTGTCTGCAATATACATTTGCCCGCTGATTTGCTGTTATGGATAAATGGATTGTTGGTTGAGGTTGGTTGCATCAGTGGTTGGGTGTTGATTGGTTGATTGCATCAGTGGTTGGATTAGTTTAGATGGTTTGTGATTAACCGAACTTGTTGGCTGGGTAATATTTATGGTTGACTGGCTGATCATTTATCTCTCTGACAAGTAGCCAACGAACGAATCAGGAAATGAACGTGCGAGAAGCAAAACAGACCGATATCGGCTGATAATTAGCAAGACAACCATTCATGCGATGAAACCAACTAGCCAAAACACAAACTAGCCAAACACTTAAAGTAGACGCAAAAGACTAGAAAAAGATGATGGGGG